ATATATATATATATATATATATATATATATATATATATATATATATATAAATGCGAGCGATGTTGCGCAGACAACGGTTGTCTAAGACGGATAGTCATTGGGCATCTGCTCGAACAGGTCCGGTTTCGCAGCCATAGAGCAACAAGGTGCTTACCGTTGCACCATAAACACGCCCTTTCAGTGAATGGGGTATGTTGCGCCGTCACCACAGTACTACAATATTACGGCATCCCCTGTGTTTGTTCAACCTTCCCTCCTGTTTTTTTGTCTGTGCCCGTGGTTTATCATTCATTGCTCTTTGTTGTTCACAAATTACTCATTTTTTCAATGTTTCACCCATGTCCTTTAGCTTCATTATCATTTGGTGAACTGGTTATCAAAAGGATACTCCACAAAAACCAGGTCTTTCGCTTATCTGGTCTGAATATCAGCTCTTTGTAGACGAATGACCGCCCGTGGCAGACATCCCAGAGAAGACACATTGATAAAGACTTACTGATCGTAAATATCAAGGATCCGAACAGGCATCGGTTATAGACTGAATCAATGTGTCTGGGTGTACCCAAGTATGTGCATATAACAGGAGAGAAAAATTATATGAGGTGCTTATCGATATAATATGTCATTAATTCGATCGTTCACGGCGGCCTAGCAATGGTCAAAGCCAAAAACCCGCGAATACAGAATAACCGCGCGAAGCGCTAGTTGATCAAATTGGGATATTGGTCTATATAATGGTAGTTTCTAATTCGCCTGATATAACCGATGGTATGCGAAAGAAATATCGCTACAGTAGATGTATTACATAACAATTCCATCTTTTTTCGTTACCATCGTTACGGGAATTGCAATGAACAGGAGCTTTCATACGTCCATCGCTCTTCATTTTTGTCGCTTTTTCTATTCCTATTCTGACTACTCACAAGTAGTCTAGATAGCTGATAAATAAAAGCTTCCGGATAATATTTTTACGGATGTAGGATCATAAAGCGATACGTTACGTGCCTTACGAAGACTCAGTTATCAAATGATACGAATTCCGCTTGAGCAAAAGTACACAAATGAGGTTAAATTGTTTTCTTCAGAGTCGTGGACAATCGATTTATAATCCGTAGGAACAGATGACGTTTCTGCTTCCACCTAATGTTTTGCAGGGGCATTTTCTATGCAATGTTTAACTGCTTAGAAGTTTGCTTTCGTTTTTATATTTATGCAACCTGTTGTCCTGTTTTACGATCTTGCGGGACCTATGATTCCTGCGCACCTTCCATGTTTGGGGTTTCATGCCATCATATACGAGGATGCTTAAAGTTACTCTTCTTTGCAAGCCATATGTGCTCTCAAGGTTTTCGAACAATTTTAGCTGATCTATCTCCTCGGAATTTCATTTACTAAATAAAAATCATCGGTTCTTTTTCATTCCTTAGAATCCCACATCTGTTTCCATGATCGGGGGCACCCTTAGCTCTGGGGCCAAAATTGGTTTATACGGTGGTTACGGCCAGCAAACTCCGTTCTTATCCGTGAGCGGAACGTCCGGTTCGTGTCGAATCGGACCGTTCCATATGCCCAATCAACCAGACGCTTGGTCCGGTGCGACTCCTCGAAGTCCTACCTCAAGTCGATTTTCAAGGTCGTTGAGCACAGGAAGTACAAATGGGGGTGGAACGTCTTACGTGTCTGCATCGCGTTTAGAGTCCCGTGGCCCTGGCTCATCCTCCTCATCTGCTTATTATCAATCGCAGGGATTAAATGCACCATTACCAATGGGAACCCCGTTAACCAATCCCGGACAAGTCGGTCTGGGCGGGGCTACACCTAGTCTATCTAGTTTAGTTGGAATGATCCCACCCACACCGAGGCGTCCGTCTACACCACCTCGGGAGTTCCTTCCGTCGTCTCCGGCGGTGGCCACAACCACAAGTGGCCTAAATAGTTTCAATCTACCATCTCATTTGAGTGCTTATGGTACGGAGTTCCAGTCTTCTTGTCCTTCGCCTTCGATACATCGTTCGAACAATGGAGGATTACGAAACACACGTTCGTACTCGACGGCAGCTCGCCCCCATTCTCCGAACCAAGACACTTAAATGGTGCTTCCTTTCACCCTTCGTTGCTTTGTCCTTAATCTCTCTCTTCTTTAATCTTGTTTTAAAAGTCACTATGTACAATTTGACTTTTTATACTATGGTAGTAATGATATCTACACATGCATGAATGTCGAGACTTTATTTTCTCCTTATGTTGTTATCTCAAAGCTTGGTTAAGAAATGTGGTGTAGCGATCGTAAGCTGCGTGGCTGACCCCTGTAATGGTATCCAGTTCCACACCATACATTGATTGGAGAACGTACAGACGATGATCCCGTTTCGTCTAACCATTTTTCACATCTCGTATCGCTTCAGTGTTTTCATGTAAAGTGCACTACTCCTGTCAGTAAAAATCTCAAATGCAACAGAAACGGTATGTTACTTCGCATTTACAAGCCCTGAAATAAATAAGTGGCACCACAAGCAAGGGAATCCCTATCTCCACTTAAAGTGAACATATTTTCAGAGTGGTGGATACATTCCCATTTGTTGGTGTAGAATGACAAGAGGGATCTCGGTTGATCACGCTGCGCTAAAAGTCAATGGATGTCCAGGTTTGAGTTCTAATTTCTACAACTATTAACCTTGCACTATCGTGCACCGGTTTTGGTTGCTGTCTTTTGACTGCCCATTTGGCTGAACATTAAGGGGAAAACAGGAGGAGAAAGACCGGGAACGTTGGAAGTAGGATCAAGGAGAAAATTTAGGATTTCAGTGGACTAATGTTGCAGAGAAATTGGCAAGATGCACGAACACCAATGTTTACGACAGCCATATTACTGAGTGTCCCTAACCGTCGGGTATGATCAGCCCGAGGTCCCCATCCAGGGAGCCTAATGGGACCTATGTGCCCCCGACTCCTGGTTAGGGTTTTCATACTCTCATGTTAGGTCTTAGCTTGACCACCCTTAGCTTTCTTCCACCCGCTACCTGCCTCGGCGAACATCGCTCGCTGTGCAACCTGTCTCGTGACATGCGTAACACATGTCCCAACCAGCGTTATCTTTGAAGTTCGACTACTTGCTCCAGTGAGCGACCAGATTTAGCTAAATCTCTGTTCCTAACCTCAGCATTGCTCGTCCGGCTGTCCCACCAGATTTGTGCAATGCTGTGTAGACAGCGGTTTTCAAATACCGACAGTCTATCTTTGTCCTGTTTTCCGAATGGCCAAGTTTCTGCACCGTATAGCAGAATTGGCCGAACTGTCGCAGCATACACTCGATACTTCACAGACAGCCGGATGTCGCGACAGCGCACATATGTCTCAAGTTGGAAAATACCAACCGAGCCTTCTGTATGCGTATGTACGCGAGGACTGGCATCAACTGGGAGTATTTACTCAGTCGAGGTGGAGGGTGATAGTTCAGATGTCCATGGGGGCCGGTTGAACTGAGCCTGGAAATGTTCAGTCCATTGATCAAGACGGCGTTGCTGATGATGAATCAGTATGCCGTCGGATTCCTTGAAAACCTCGCCTATTTTCCTAGGGTCCGTATTCCTAATTAGACGGAAAGGGTTGCGGCTATTACCAATACCCGCGGCTTTCCTCATCTCTCGACACCTTTTGCGGTCATTCCTCAGACTCTTGATGAACTGACGTTTAAGGAATTTGCGTGCTGTGGCATCGGGCAGGAGGGTTCTGCGGGCGTTCATCAAGGCAGCCGAGGTCGGCGAGTTCCATCGTTTCTTCTGAACATGCGCTAAGGTCCGCCGTTGTTCTTATCAACATCTGCATATCTTCCTTGGTTTGCTTCCACTGTTAATTGAGTCCTTCGACTGGTGACTGAACTGATGGGCGATCGGAGAGTTCCGCTTCGAAGGCCAATTTACAGAAATCGCTGACGCCTTATCGTGGGTAACGATTGTCGGTTGTTTACCGGGCGTACGGAGAATTTGGCTCTTAGCAAAGCGTGATCTGTATCCACAGGTGTAGACCAGTAATGTTTTAATCCTAAAAGACGGTGCTAGTCGAGGATAGTTATTCATTGTCAATATCTCTCGAGATATGATTAAATTGTCATTCATACAACAAAATATCTCATTTGGAGCAAGGTTGTAGAATTCCCACACGCACACAGGATGGTTGATGAAACCATTCATTATTAGATGCGCATTCTTGTATTCACCATACCGAACATCAGCAGTTTGCTCCAACAGGTCTTGTTGATTTTCGGTCGTTGAAAGAAACCACGGATCGCATCTTTTTGCATACCATTCACCAGTGAGTAGTATCTCACAACAGTAAGATCGGCAGTCTTGAATCGATCCTCTCCAGCGGTAACTGATGGCGATGTGGTCGATTTTGGTCCAGCGCTGTGGAGAGGTTAGCGGTTTCCATGTAAGACGGTGTTGTTTCTTGTGCGAGAAGTTCGTGTTTGACAGGAACAATCCGTGGTCTGCGCAGCGTCCAAGTAAGCGATCTCCGTCCGGTCGGCTGGGATCGCATACGGTCCGCCAAAAAGCCTTTCTGATTCATCCAGGGATCCCACTTAAGCATTGAAGTCCCCGGTGACTACTACGATGTCCGTTGATCGAACACCGGTTGGTGGTAGCTGTCTAATGAAGTGCGAAGACTTCTTCTGTCGAGAGGAAGCCCCACGTACCGTGCTTCTACGTCTATCTGGCGGTTTTTTACCGGTAAACTGCCCCTCACCGTGTTAATTTGTTGGAGTGACCTCTCCGCTGTCGGGTGTGGATAGACGAGGGAAGCCAGGGGGTGTCCGAAAGCTGGCTTGTGAGATTGAGCTTCGTCTGGTCTCTACCCGTTGACCTTTCAGACATGGTTGGACATACGGCTGTGAAAAGCCATCCTGTGTAGCTCGTAGGGTCATGGAGGTACGCAAGCTATCACACCACATCGAGGTGCAGTCTCGTCGTGATGGTGCAGGTGTGAACGACAGTCCGTTGTCATTGCGTAGCAAAACCCTAATTAATAACCAAAGCGGTGCCCATGGTGAAATTTTTAGACATATCGTACCAGGCGGTCAAAGTACAGATATGTGATTGTCCAATCACAGCTGAGACAGGAGCAAGTGTGTGACAAGGCTGGCGGTGCTCAGTCCCAGATTCGTGGGCGGGCGTGTGATGTCTGAGGTCAAATGAGATAACAGTGGAGAGATGGATGGGCTGAGTAAACTGTTGATGAGAGTTGCCAGCTAAGATAAGAGAGCGGGATGATGTCACGTAAGAAGCACTAGACACTATCATGCAGGTGCTTTATTGGGGAAGAAGGAAAACTGAAGGGAGAGAGGAATGTAATTAACTGTCATGGTTGTGGTGGATGCTTCAGATCATTGGGAACACATGAGACTGACAAAAGTAGTTCAACGAAAATGTCTACCAGAACGATTACTTGCGATCGATATTCAATAGAAAAGATGTAATAGCAGTTTTACGTTGTTTTGATTTGATAAAATTAAATTTCATATAAATGGAAAGTAGGACATGTTTGATGCGAACGATGGAATGCATGTCATGAAAGTTTTTCTGGATTGAACGTGTTCAGTATTTCGCCAGGACTAAAGTGCGCAGGTTGTCTGCTCTTCGAGCGTCCTAGCTTTATGCCATGGGGGCTTTAATTAAAACCATTCAGCGGTATTTGGGGCGCATAGTGCTACAAACATCTTCAGGTGAAATAATTACATTTCTTGCTTAATTAGGCCTGTTTGGTAAATTTCCTCAAGGGTTGGTCCATTTCACGACAGAATGCATAATGGTCAGTTCGTCCTCGTAAAGGGGTTTCCGTGCCTTAACAACAAGGTGAGACAAGACAAAACGGATTTGTAAATCATGAGCCGTAGATACAAATTCATGAATAGTCTGATCACAGGTTGTACCAGGAGCCCACCTTGATTTACGATTATTCGAGAATACATGTTAGACACAGTTGACGAATAGGGCAAAATTATACAGGCATGGTCATTGTTACGTTGAATCTACTTGAAAAGCCGCGGTAGAGAAAAGAACATGTTAGGGTAAACACCTGTACTGATTATATCTGGCATACAACAAAATTTTGTCAATAATGCTTGACGCTTTTAATTCAACAAATGATCTGTTCATACTTTAATTTGAAAAGCGTGAAACATATTGCCTGTTGATGTTCACTGAATTCGCATGATTACGACGGATCAGGATTGTCTTCGGTTATTATTGGAATGTGAGTTCTCAATGTTATAATGATAATAACGTGAATGATTGCTGAAACAGTATACCTTTGTCATCTCGAAAGTTTCCAAGGTTTGAAAAAATTGTAATACTTCATAAAAAATTATCGCTAACTTTAACCAAATTTTGTAATGTTTTCAGTTTAATGTCCTTCTCCTATTAAGTCCTCGGACTACGTCATCATAATGACTTCAACCGATGTTTTCAGCTCACTTAACCACAAACAATTCACCCTTTGCTGAGGGCATAAGTTTCGAAGGCGACAACTTGACCCCTAAAATATCATGAAACTCAGGGACATATTTTTATGTATTCGCTTACCGTGACGTATCTAATTTGTCTTCACTTAGCTGATCGTAGCAGTTGATGTTAAGTTGAAAAACTGAGCACATCTGAAGCTTGCACAGTTGGTCGTTGTGTCGTGCCCTGCCAGGCTGCAGGTCTGCGCAGATCATCATCTGTTCTTATCCAGACACAGCTCTCAACGGACGATAACGTGGCGCTCCTACTTAATGGGTTACGCCAACTCAAATCAACCACATAGCATTAAGCTGCCGTTGGTGTGACTCAGGAAAACCTGCAGGTCCTATTGGACCACCTGTGTTGAATCTGATCACAAATTAGTTTTGATGCAATTTACTCTCCAATTAACTGGTCACAGAAAACCCCACCAAGCTCGATTGGCAAGTCATCGCTTATCTGACCCAGCTGTTCGTGCCCGTTTGGAATCAGAACTAGGGCAACAGCTGAACGTACTGCGGGGTGGTAGTGTAAATGAATAATAGGATCAAATTAGACGAGCAATGCACTCCGCAGCGCAGGTTGCTTGCGGA